GTTTGAAGGGGGGAATTTAAAAAAAAAAAAAAAAAAAAAAAAAAAAAACGGCGGCGGCGGTTGATTGTTTCGTATTCAAATTATATTCCATTTGACTCGAATGCGTATACCATTATTATTGTTTTATCGTCGTCGGAATCGGGTAACACGCGAACGATTTGACGTAGGTACATTACATGTTATACGAGTGTGTATAATATTATAATGTGTATACGAGTGTGCGGCATAGTGAGATTTTAATACTATAATAATATATATACGTATTGTTATATTATTACGATCAATCGCGGGTAACGCGTTCCTTTTATTATAATCCGCGCGGACAAAAAAAAAAAAAAAAAAAAAAAAAAAAAAATGTATAAAAAATACAACGCATAAACAATTATCGTAATATAGTTACACGCGCGGTCGTTAGAATATTTCGGTGTACGGTTGCAGTGCGTATCCGCGCTCAGCTACGCCGCGTAATGTTATGCGCGTGCCACCTAACTGCGCGTCTGATAAATTTAGGGTCCGAGAAAACGAAAAAACTCACAAAACAATACTGGCAACACGGAAATGCGGATAAACGACACCGTACAGGTATAACGTCCGGAAAGCGATTCTGTAGGTACCGTATATTCGGTGTTACCGTAGACGCGGAAACGAGGAAAATAATCATTCGAAACAGTTTAGAGAAAACGGCCGATGACCCTGCTCGACAACCGGGCTACTGCGTCGTGGGCGGAAAGTCGGAAAGGTAGGCTAAATGGTATTATGGCCGAGGGAAAAAAAGCAAAAAAAAAGAGCTGATACTGGGGATGGGAGCGGTCACTGTTGTAGGTGAGAAGTTGGGAAGGTAGGATACATAAAGCTATTTGATTTATATCTGTAAGCGACGATAGGCCATTGCTTGACGAAAGACGATTCCGGGCGCAGTTAGGTTACACATAATTTGAAGTGCCGTAATTTTGTTTTGTGATTTTCGTTTAAATTTGATTTTAAAACGCTTATAAAAAAAAAAAAATAAAGGCATCCGATGATTTCGGAAATTTTACCACGTTCAGATAAGTCCAATATAAATATAATGACCAAGTAACAAGTCTTACATGTATTTATAACTGAATCGCAGCAAAAAACTCCCAAAAATTAAAATGCCTTAAAAGCTCAAAAGTTTTGGCGATGATACCGTAAGAAAGTAAATCGAAAAGGCCACAAAAAAAGTATCTTGTGATTTTTTAATAAAATCATTTTTTCTGATAGAAAACGTCGTCCGTGTTTTTATAAAATAATGAAATCGTGAAATTGTACGTTTTTCCCCAATTAAACGCTTTAAAAAAAAAAAAATTGCGTCGAAAATAAAAAAAATTTTCTGTTTAACATATTATCTAGACAACTCGAGCGTTCAGAATAGTTGCTACACGTAAAAATCGGAGCAAGTTTACAGGAAAAAAACGCGTCCATAGACTGGAAAAATATAAAGAAATAATAAACATCTTAATAAAACCAATAGCTCCCTCGCTACGCTCGGAATCTGAAACACGATACACTTGAAATTATCGGAGCGAGATTTCCGGTAGAATAACAAAACGGAAAACATTGGAAACAGCGCAATTTTTAATGCGGTTTTTCCCGAGTACGGTGATGAAAACTATACGGAAAATCAAAAAAAAAAAAAAAAAAAAATTGACCGTTCAACACACTAATTATTGCTGGTTCCTAAATGTATTGAAAAAGTTTTTTTCAATACATTTATTCTCTTGCCGTTTTTTTCAATCGGACCGGGATTTCTGGTGGAAACGTCATTCGCCGATAGTTTCGAAACCGTTCGAAAATCCATTCGTTTTTATTCGCGGAAACCACGACCGTTGTATAATACATAACTGCGGAATATTAAGACCATTACAGACCGTTGTATACATAACGTACCGGCCGTACAGTTTTATAATGTTATGTATAACGCGGACGGTTTAAATTTGAATAATAATAATGAAAAAAAAAAAAAAAAAAAAAACCGACCTTAAAAAAAATGGAGATTTCGCCGGTAGCGTGGCGTAAGTATACGTTTCGAACCGGTGTTCGTACGCGGTTGGGTAGGAAGGGACGCGACACGAAAAGGTTATCAGTTATCACTTTATCGGACAGACGACCTCGTCGTCGACACCATTGCACCGTATATTTTATATACCTACTGTAATAGTGTCGCGTGCGTGTATATATTATGATAAAAAAGAAAAAAAAACAATAACTCGCGCTCGCCGTCAGATATGTATACTGCAATACTGTAATATTAACGGGGTTAATACACTCGGCGTCGGTGGCCACGATCGTGTCCAGCAAAAATAATATAGTATTTGTTTTTGTAAAAAAAAAAAAACATAAAAAAAAAAAAACACGTAAACACACACGGAGTGTACAACCACGATATCGTATCGCCTAATTTTCGAAAAAAAAAATCTCTTATACGAACAGCGCAGTGACGTTTGCCGCTGCTGGCTTATATTTTTTGGCCAACGATCGCGACCGTGTTACGCGACGTTTTTACGCGACGAAAATAACGGATCGACGGAAATGACGGTCGGCAATACGCTCTCCGGTGGACCGGTCCATTTCAAATAATATTATGTAAACACGACATTGACATTTGATAAATAGTGAAGCCCACGGAAATAAATACCGAATTCTGATTTATACGTAAGTAACGTTAGCTTAGACCAAGTGAACCGATTCGGTTTACTTAAAGAGCAAAATTTCATCTGACGGTTGTAGAAGCGTCCGAGAAATAGAACGATGAAAGCGGCATTCGGTAAAAAAATTTTAAAATAAATAAACTTTACATTTCGAAAAAACA